TGAGAAATGAAAAACGGATTTGATTGAAAATTGGCGGTTCTTTTTTCTTTTCTTTTTCCATTGTTTTGATTTGTTTGCTGCTGTTGTTGTTGTTGTTTGTCACAGAATCATTTTCACAATTTTCGATCCATTTTTTTTTTTTTTTTTTGGTTGGAAAAAAAATCGATAATCATTTTTTCCCGATGTTAAAAAATTAATCTTCTTTCGGCAAAAGGAAGCANTTAAAGATTGAAAACAAATAAAATCTAACCAAATATACCGCCTTGAATGAAATTGTTTCAAAATTGAAATGTGTCGAGACATTTCTCTATATATATGATGAAAGAATGAAAGAAATTCTTAACCGTTTTTCTTTTCCGCACACACATTGAAAATGAGAAATGAAAAACGGATTTGATTGAAAATTGGCGGTTCCTTTTTTCTTTTCTTTTTCCATTGTTTTGATTTGTTTGCTGCTGTTTTTTTTGTTGTTTGTCACAGAATCATTTTCCCAATTTTCGATCCATTTTTTTTTTTTTTTTTTTTGGTTGGAAAACAAATCGATAATCATTTTTTCCCGATGTTAAAAGATTAATCTTCTATCGGCAAAAGGAAGCAAAGTGCTGAAAAAAATGACATTTTAATATTTGAACAAAATAATTTAAATTTCAATTTGAAACAATTACTGTTGATGATGATGATGATGATGCTAATTTAATAACTTTTGTTTAATGAATTTTGTTTGTTTTCATTGTTGGTTATTTAAGTTTTGTCGCGTTTTGTTTTCAATTTGTTCATTGTAATATTTGTAGACAATGGAATTTTTTTTGCTATTATTAATTTCTAATGTTTTTTTTATTTTCATAAAGAATTTCTTTCGAATAAAATCATATTCTCATCATATAAATAGAAAACCAAGATATTAAGATGCATTTAAGCACCAACAATCCGCCAATAATTTTTTCCTGCATTGATTTTTTCTTCTTCTTCTTCTTCATGGATCAAATTGTTTGGATATTTACAAAACTATTCCCCCCCTCCGAAAAAAAAGTATGGAGAGAAAAGGGGCAAAAAAACAAGATTATTTCTGGAACCAATTCTTCTATTATACCAAACATATAGCCACTAGCATCTCTTCAATACCGAAATTTTTTTTTTCTGGGAAAAGAATTCATATTGCTTTTGGATTTTTTCTACGTTTCGTTTTGCTTTGTTCTTTCTTTCACTGATATTGTATTGTATTTTTTTTTGGGGTATTTTCTCGATCCAACCGTTATTTGTGCAATACGCATCAACAACAACCGAAAAAAAAATATTATTAAAAGAATAAGAGAAAATCGTTCGAAATTCATTCAAGCAGTAAATATATATTGGCGCATACGACAAAATGATTTCCAAAAGAAAGAAGAGCGAGAGAGCGGGAGTGGTTTTCATCAAAATCAATGGTCGATGTCATGTACAACACACCAAGAGAGACAGACAAAAAAAGTTTCAATCAACAGTGTAATAAGGCGGCAAAATAAAATCCGTCCTACTAAAACGGATATACACAGCTTTTTATATATATAAGTATAGCCCCCATTTTTGTTTTTTTCATTCAATAATAATAGTTCAACAAATATTGTTTTGTTTGTATTTTGGAAAAATAATTGTATAACAGTGATAGAGAAAGAGAGAGAGGAAGGAAAAGAGGATGAAACAAGTGAAGCGTACAACAGTAGCAGTATAGATTTATGAAATTGGTACGCCTTGAAATGAAATGTTGAATTGAACATTTGGATAGACATTGATGTGTACCGCCTGCGTTTATAGCTTATATATTATAACAAGCTATTTGATGATGATGATGATGATGATGATATGGTTGTTTAGATTTTTATTATTTTCTTTTCCTTTCTCACTCTCTCTCTCTCTCTCTCTCTCCTCTCAATGTACATTTGTAACAAAACAAAACAAAAAATAACGAAAAAATAAACAGAATAGAGAGAGAAATCATCATTTTCATTTGCTTCGTTTGATTCTGTCATGTCAAATGAATGAATGAATGAATGTGTGTGTGCTGAGGTGCAATCAAACGGTAAATATGAGTATATAAATGCATATTAGTATTTTGAATCCAATCGGACAACAACAACAACAACGACAAACAAAACTGAAAATTTTGTTTTGGAACAAAACAACAACCCAATTCGTTATGCCCGATCAATTGATGAAAACAAAACAAAAAAAAAGTCCATGTGAAAAATACCCGTTCGTATAAGATTTATTTTTTGTTTGTTGTTTGAATATTTCATCGTTGTCATCATCATTGGAAATCATTGTATCTTGATCAGATTTGATCGAAATTCAAATTTACATTCGATTCAAATCATTCAACCATTTTATTTATTTATTTTCTGAAATACAAACACCAAACAACATCTAACAACAACAACCTTTCGTTACTTTTTGAAATAGTGTGAGATCCAGATTGATTTGACCGGTATTAATCGATCGAATGATTTGCATTCAAATTGAATCGTTTGTTTTCAGATTTTCATCAATTGTTTAATTTCAACAACAACAACAAATCATCCATCATAAATTAGATTAATCAATATTGATTTTTTTCTTTTGTTTTTGCATCCATCCATCCATTCAATCAATCGATCAATCGATTTTTTCTGTTCTTTTTTAAAAAAAAATTTATTAATTTCAATCATTGATCAATAATCAAAATTCACTTGTATGTTTGTGTATAAGTGGTCAATCAGGAAATTCAATTCAATCATCGATTTGAATGAAGAAACAAAAAAAAAATCAATAAATGCCAGCGAACAGCAAAATTCAATATTTGAACAGAAGTTTAATTTAATTTAGTGTTTTTTTTATCAAATGTGATAATTTTTTTCTCATCAAAATCTAAACATCATTATCATTAATTTTAATCACATTGATTCATCATCACAATCATCATCATCATCATAATCAACTTAACTCGTTCAACACACACTACAAAAAAAAAGTTATTCATATTTTTATCTTATTTTGGTTCATTATTTAGCCATCATCATTTACGGTAAGTACTTTGTTTCTATCATCATATATTTTTCACTGAATGAAATGAGAAACAATAGTCAAAAAAAACAGTTATCTTTCAATTATAACCATCAATATCTGTACATAAGGGAATGATGAAAAATGATGATAATTAGCAAATGATGATGATATTAAAAAAAAAGTTTCCCTTGGATTTTTTTTTTTTTTTTTGGCTGTTGTTGTTATTCTTTAACCACAATATATTTTACATCATACTACACACATATATCTCAAGGGAACATCAACAACATTATCATCATTGAAAAAGTGTGTGTGTGTGTGTCAATTCTATGGAGAATATTCTTCTGACACACACACAATGATTGTGGTTTTTTTTCGTTGTTGTTGTTCTTGATTCACATTTGATTCTTGTTGTTTTTTACGCCGTTTGTTTTTTCTGTTGTTGTTGTTATGTGGTTAACTTGGCCACTATTAATCGTCGATTGTCGTTGGGGTCATTGATGATGATCACCATCATCATCAAACACAAAACCCATGGAGAGAGAGAGAAAAGAATATTTATACTTTGCCTTTGATTGTCAATAGGGAATTTCTATGATGATGAATATAATTGAATTAGGTTTCGTTTTTCACTCCCAAAAATGAAATGATATTTGGTGATGATATCAATTCGAATGAAAATAAAAAAAGAAAATAATGATGATCCTCATCATTCGATCAAGTTACTATTATTTGATTTGATAATATTTATCACATCGATTGGTCAAGTTATATTTTTCCTCCACAAAACGAAAATTTGATTGTGGTTTCTCTTTAGGGCACATTTCATTGATGGTTTTTTTCTGTGAGGCTATTCAATTCAACAACAACAAGAATTGGAATGGCACACGCACATGTCGTGTGTTATATTCCAAAATATAACTAATAGTGAAAAAAAATAAAAAATATAACCAACAGAAAAGACAGAACTAAATAAAAGTCAACGATGTAAAACCAGAAAACATCGAGAATTCAAGTGAACAAAAAAAAACAAACTGAATGAGAGATGCCTTTTTACATTTCTACGGGAACAATAATAACAATGTGGGAAAAAGACTCGTGTTCCATGGAATGATCGTTCCAGGATTGATTTTTGTTGTTGTTGATAATGGTTGCTATGATAAATGAACAATTTTTTTCCATCATCCACTTACCAAACCCCATTTTCATATCAAAAATTTACGAAACAGAAAAAATGAATTTTACAAAAATTCTGCAACAACAACAAAAACAGAGGAACAACGAATTCATTCATTTTTTCTACCAACCAACTAACAAAAAAAAAACATTACCTTCAAATAAAATGTTTAAATGTTGTTGTTCAGGAAAATTTTGTTCAAAAAATACACACCACATATAAGAAGATTATTACAATGAAAACATACTTAACCCCCCTGAAGAAAGTCAATAACATTGTTGTTGTTGTTATTGTTATTGTTGGATTTATGGATTTTGATATGTTTTTGAATATTATTATTATTATTGTTGTCTACTTACTTTGTTAAATGATATCAATTGAAATCTGATGAATGTCACCAAGTAAAAAATACAATTTAAAAGCAAGAAAGTTTTTTCAAGTTTTTTTTATCTGAAAACACTTGAGAAGAGATTATGTATTTTTTAGTTTGACAAATGTATGAATGGAAAACGATAATGTTTACCTAGATTTCTTATTCACAGTGTTTTTTTGTTGTTCAACAATTCAATAACAATTTGTAGATTTTCGTTTGTTCACTGAAATAATGTTTTGAGACAAATTAAGCTTCTTATGTAATATCATCATAGAGGTAATCATAGTTTTAAAAGGTTTTCCTTTCACATTTTCATTATGATTTTGTTTTTTGTTCATTAAAAAAAAAATTAAATATTTTTGTTGTTGTTATTGTCAGGTTTACCTTACCACTACCACTACTCGAATTACTACTACTACCACCACCACCACCACCTATCAATTAATGAATTAACCTGATGAGAGATTAAGACAAGACAAGAAAAGAGTTATAATCCCTAAATCCCTAATTTTTTGTAATTGATTGATTTGGATATTCCCAAACAAATTGATTTTGAAAAAATCATTCAAAACGGCTTTATCTACGGTAACACCACCTTATCATCACCATCATCATCATCATCATCCGCATCAACATCATACAATGGTGCCAAACGATGGTCATCATGGATTTCATCAACGTTCAGCAGCTGCTAATCATTTTTGGTCAACAGCAACATCATCTGCATCATCATCACCAACATCATTAACATCATCAAGATTTGTTTCAGCCGTTGCCGATGTATTAGCACAACAACAAGATCAATGTATGATGCAACATAAGGGTAAGTTTCAATCAAAAAAGTATGAGTATTTCTCATTTTCATCATATCATCAAAATTCGAAACATCATCAAAAATTTAATTGAAAAATTTTTCTTTTTTTTTCTTCGATTCTTCAACTTTTAAATTTCCCTTCATCAAATAACTCTTTCATACACTCTATGTCTATGTCTCTCTTTTATTTACCTTATAATATTCTATCCTGTAACCTGATTTCTAATCTTTGACATCTTTTCTATTTTCATTTTCAATTATTTTTTTTTTGCATCCATTTTAATCAGATAACTTTTTTTTTTGTTTCTTTGTTGTTGAAATAGTGAGAAAAATGAGAGATTCAAAGTTGAATAGCAAAAAAGAATACGGTTGTTGTTGTTGTTTATGTAATCAACGGAAACAATATGTTGGAATTCTGTACACAAACACTAAATACACAATAGACAATACCCTCGACTCATGAGGATGCTGTTAATAATGATAATAATAAAATGCTAAACTAAAGTGAGAAAAAAAACGATGGAAGAATGTAGATGAGATGTGTACCACTCGAGATAGGAGCAAGATTAAATGATTTTTTTACACAATGCTTGTGTTGATTCTTCAACTACAATGGGTATTAATGGATAAAAATGGTTTCGGCCAACGATCCAGGATCAACAGAAAAATGAATAGGGAGAAAAGTAAAAAAAAAAAGTAAAACTATGAACCGATTCTATGATTAGATGTGACAAAAGAAAATATATTCTCAAATATATAATAGTGTTTGGTTCTACATCATCATTATTATCTACATAGTAGAATTTTTTTGAAAAAGAAGAAGAAAATTTCATCAACAAAAAAATGGAAGAATATTTTTTGATTCAATCAACAATGGAACAAAATGATAGATATGATTATTATATGATCATCATCATTGGGGTTGTAAAAAAAGCTCAGTAAAAATTCAGGGTTATTTTTCAGTCAGGGACTTTAAATATTAGTTTTTTTTCCAGAAAAAGAATCGTTCGATTTTTTTTTGTTGACTTGATGTTCAACAACAACAACAACAAAACAAATCGAAACGATAACGATGATAACAATCAAAATTCTATGTAGTTAGATGAAAACTGTTTATTTACTGCTACTTTCGAATACCAAAAATTATCAAACTATTTTTTTTTTGGCAAGAACCAAATTCTTGTGTAAAATTTTTTCATTGATTCTCTATTCTATTGTAATAGAACAACAACATCAGTTTTTAAAAAAAAGTTACAAAAATTCAGACAAAGTAAAGTAATGGTGACGAAACGAAACAGAAAAATCAAAGCAAACGATACGATTTTCCTAATTATATGTATATGAGAACGACATACCAGAAAAGTAATATTTATTCAATATATTTTGAATTTATAGCTCATTTCATTTCATTCGATGTTCATCATTCAGTGAACTGTTAATGTGTTGTGGAAGAGAAGGTCACCAAACAAAATTCCAACCAATTTTACAAATTCTATAATGATAGGTTTCACAACCGACTTGCATCAATATCAAATTGGGATTTTATTCTTTTCACATACTTTTTGAACGTATGGGATGCTATCTTGTTGTGTTTTTTTTCTGCTAAAAAACTCTTTCATTTTCATAGATTTTGTGAAAAAAAAGTATTATTATTTTTCTTTTTTTTTGATTATATAATACTGGAAATAACAGAACTGTATAGCCAATGATGAAAGCATAACATTATTTTCATTTTTTTTGAATTTGGTAATCAGTTTTGAATCTAAACTTTAGATCAATCCATCCAGTTAAGTTCATGCCGTGTTTGTATCCTTTCATTATGATCCATGAACAAAAAGTCAGTGTTGTTTTTTTATTTCCAAACTACTACTATGTATTGGTGAAAAAAAGACACTAACCCGAACACACGCGTACACATAAGCAAGACACGTGTCATAGATGAAAAATTAATTATAAAATTATTGAATTTTTATAAATCTCTGAAAAAAAATCATCATGAAATACAAAAGTTTGTTTTAATTTAGCAACACAGTGAAATTCTTTTCACAATTTTTTCGGATGATGATAATCAAATCAGACGAAACATTAATCAATTTATGGTTTTGGATCGATGAATATTATGATTTGAAATATGGCAATGAAAAAAAATTCCGTTCAATGATATTGATTAGTTTTTCTCGGGTTTGTTTGTTGTTCATTGTACTAACTTTTGGGTTAAAGCCAATTTATTTGTGCATATTTTTTTTCTTTGCTTTGATCAAATAATCATAGTTTGTTTTTTTCCCCTTTAACCATAGTTATATGATTTTTATATTCTCTTGATTAGCCATACACAAACACACAATTGCAATGGATTCTTTTATTCAATTTTCAATTCTGATCACTGTTATTGTTGTTGTTGATTATTTGCTTGTTTGTGATCTAATTTAATGGTTCGATCTGATCTGAATATCTGGTGTGTGTGTGTTTGTGAGTATAGATTTCAACAACATTTGTTAGTTTGTTTTTATGATGTTTTGGTTAGTGTACAAATGAATCGTTAGAGTAGTTAGAATTGATTCATAGATTTTACGCCAAAAAAACCAAAAATTAGCAGCTTATTTGATAGTACAAACATACATACAATCAGTATTTATATATAGAATGTACAGCCTCAAGTAATTTAATTAGAATTCTACAAGCAAAAATATTCTGTATTTTGTTTGTTTATGTATGTGTGTGTAAAACCAAATGAATGAATCGAAAGTTGAATTGTTATGGATAAATTATGGAATTAAGAGAGAAAACGAAGAATGGGAAAAAATCACCAACTGGCTTGGTGAAAAAAAAAATGAATCAAACCAAAAATTGGCAATAATAATGGTTATTAAGCGAATAGGAAATGATGGTAGAAATTTTATTATTAGTGAACACAGATAGAATCCAATATTATCAAGATCATAATAAACTCTAATCACGTACAAATAAAAAATGATTTTGATTTTGTAGCCAAATTTACCGAGATTTTTACCCGAATTTGGGAAAAAAATGTTTCAATATGACAACAAAATCATATCGCATGGACCCTAATTAGTGACAATAATAATGGTCATTTGTGATATCGGAAATTCATCCTTTTTTTGTTGTTGTTGTTTACTGATTTGACTGACAAGAGAAGAAAGAAATATCTCAATTTGTCTTGCTTGTCGTCGTCGATTGTGACCGAATGAATTCATACAAAGTTTAGTGTGATATTTGTCACATTTCAAAATACAGTTTTATGTCAGTGTCAATTCAAAAATTCAAAAAAAAAAAACAAAATTGGAAAAAGCGGAAGAAAAACGTTGACGTCAACAACAATCATCATCATCATCGTATACAAGTATATCACACTTTTTTCACTATAGTTCGGGGATATTTCACAGATGCATAGACATTGAAAAAGTACAACTGAAACCGAACCGACCAAAACACGATTGACGGTCCGTTTTTGTTCCAATATTGTGTGTGTGTTCCATTTCGGATACAATTTGTTTTCGGGTATCAAAAGACTAATATAATAAAAATAAAATGACAAAATATATTCGGGTTTTCATTTCATTTCTTTTCTTGTCTCGTCGGATAGTGTTGACAAGCATTAAAAGTGTCAACTAATAATAATATATCCACCAACATCATTCACTATTGTTGTTAACTCCTGTATATAAATGCTAATGGAGATGATGATGACAATGAATACAAATAGTGAGAAAAAAAAAACAAAAATAACAATATCATTTGTATCAAACGAAAAAATATATTGTCAAGTTGTCTTGTCAAATTGTATAAAATGACATTCATTTGAATTCAATTTTCGATAATAATAATGTTGTTGGTGATTATGCTTCGTATTCCCAACAAAAAATATTACAGATACAGTTAGAATAAAGTCATATAACATTTGAATATTAATTGATTTGTAATTGGTAAATTTAATCGAAAATTACAATGTTTTCTTTTCCTAAAAATCATTGGATTGTGGCTTTAAAAAATGAACTAAGAATTCTTTTTTCAAAAGAAAAAAATTCATATATCAATAATCAAAAGTCAAACATTTTAGTTTGTTTTAAATGTGTGGGTGGTATTTTATTTTTTTCTGGTTGATTCTTCTCTAATCATATTGACTATACCAACAACAACAACAACTAATACTATAACTATACTGTAGAACGTTTAAACGCTTGATTCCACGTGAACGCCTCATAAAGCTTTTCTCAAGTCATCCATCCATCCATTCATCCATCCAGTGATCCATTCAAAAGGAAACGAGAGCATAAAAAAAAATTGAAGAAACTTTACTTGACTTATTCATTCACTTTCTATGTCTGTGTTTATATATTTGACAAAGATCTATAGATGAACCAAAAAATAAAAACCACATGGACCAACACACACAGACACATTCAAGTGAATGAACATCATTCAATCATTCATCACCTATCAAATTATCTTCTTTTATACTTGTATTTATTTCCGTTTATGTTCATCATCATCATCATGGTCTTTTGTGATAATGATGATATGATTATCCATTCATCCGACTATCAAAAAATCGATAATCTTTGTTTTATTCAATGTAAAATTATTATTATTGATTGATTGATTAGAATGGATTTTCATTGTAAATATTAACTCTTTAAATTAACTTATTTGGTGATGTATTTTTTTTTTTTTTTTGAATTGATTTGATTGTAAAATGAATGAACTGAAGCAAAAAAACATACACTTTACACAAAAGGAAAATCAATAAAGTAAATCATTCGTGCAGTATACACTGGAACATAATCATGAATACCACAATGGATGTGTGTGTGTGTGTGTGTGTCATCTTTGATTATCTTATTCATTGATTCAGCTATATTATTTTAATGAAAAATAATATTAAAACAGATAACCATTACAATTTTCAATTCCAGAATTAACGAACGAACGAACAAAACAAAAACAAATCCGAATCAGTTAAACGAAGCTTATGCACATATTATCTGCTCAAATGGATAATTTTTGGCAAGTTTTGCAGTTGTTGTTTCGGTTATTATCATTACATGTTTAAGCAGTTAATTGTCTGTATATTTGTTTGTGTGTGTGTCTATCAATCAATCAATCATTGTTGTCAATGTTGAATCAATTTTTATTGTTTGTAATTGATTAATAATTGATTATTTTTTTGGTTTTAAAAATATTACTATAGGCCACTCAGGAATCAATCAACTAGGCGGCGTCTACGTGAACGGGCGTCCATTGCCTGATTCGACCCGCCAAAAAATTGTCGAGCTAGCACATAGTGGTGCTCGACCTTGTGACATATCTCGTATATTACAGGTAAGGATTAAATTATTAATTATTTTTCTTTCAATTTTTGTTTTAATTTAATTTTTGTTTTCAAAAAAAAGGTGTCCAACGGTTGTGTATCCAAAATTCTAGGTCGATATTACGAGACTGGCTCTATACGTCCGAGAGCAATTGGTGGCAGTAAGCCACGAGTTGCAACATCGGACGTTGTGGCCAAGATCGCACAATATAAACGTGAATGTCCATCAATATTTGCATGGGAAATTCGTGATAGGTTACTTTCGGAAGGAGCCTGTAACAATGACAATGTACCATCGGTAAGTAATAAAAAAAAGAAAAAAAAAGTTTTTTTGTTCGGTTCAAACATGTGGCATATGTCATAGTTGATAAATTAAATTGACATTGTTTGTTGATTGTTATATCAAGGTAAAATCAAATAGAGAAAAAAAAAGTTTCAGAAGCAAACAATTACGTTAAATGTAACAAAAGATCAGTGACAATGATGATGGGTCACCCAGGTAATCATCATCATACAGGCTATTAGCATTGATGATGATGATGATGATGATGATTACCATCAAATCAATCTACGACCTTTCATTCACCATATGATATTGTCGTTCTGAAAAAAAAGAGAGCAAAAAAAGAAGAATACAGTAAAAAAATTTTCAAAAAATGACAATGAATGAATGATGATTGACAACATACAACAATTGACAATCGGTAACGAAAGAAAAATTCAATCAAATTTTTTCGTAGTTTTTTTTGAGGGGAAAACTTTCTGTTTTTCCAATTTTTGAAACATTTTTTTTTTTTGAATAGAAAAAAAACTTATTGTGAGAAAAAAATGGACAACAATATCGCGATGGCTAATCATCGTCGTCGTAATCATTATTATTACATTCGTCGATTCACAAAAGACGGAAAAAAAATTTTGACTATCCACAAGATAGACAAAAAAGAGTTTAGTAAAAGATAATTAAGTTATTGTGTTGATTGATATCATTTACCGAACATACGCACGCATACACATACGCAAACTAATAACCCATGACCAATGATGATTTACAAAAGATTTTTTCTTTCGTTTTCGTTTCTCATTGGTTTGCAACTATTATATTAATCGTAATCGACTGATATCAATATGATCATTCTATGACATTGATTATTATTATTATCGTTAATGGCTTTTACTAATGAACTACTCACTAAACTGAGTTGTGACATTTTTTTCTGCTGCTGCTGCTGTTGAATGAAATCAATAGATTAAATTGAGTAGATCAAATCATGAGAGAGAAAGGGAAAGAAATGGTTTTTTTGGTTATATCCTCGCACCCCGATCGAAATAACAACAATAACAATATGAGAAACGTATAGCCAAAAAAAGGAAGTGAAATTTCCGTTTCGATTATTCACTTCGTATACATTGTAATGTCTATAATTCATCATCACCATCATCAATGTTGTAAATCATGCAAATGATCTGTGTATAGATCTTTTTCTTGGATATACATAAGTTATCTACAAATATCTATCTAAGCAATGGACATTTGAATTTCCGGTTTTTAGTTTCGTTTTATTCATTCACATTGTTATATAAAATACCTTCTTGGAATACACAGATGAAACATCATCATCATCATCATCATCAATTCAATTCCGTTTCTAATACGAAAAAAAGCTGATGCTTGTCGGTTCCATATATTTGTCAACTTTTTTTTTCATTCTTTGCTTGTTTGAAACTTTTTTCTCTCGCTGTTGTTGTTGTTGTTGTTGAATCACTCTTGTTACTAGAATTCATGATTATTCGTTTCCCGTTTTTTTTTCGAATACGAATTGTAGTTGTTTTCAAGTGTATCCCGAAGAAGATGATGAAGAATAACGAAAAAAAAAACGAAAATGAAACATAGTTTTTCCATTTGAATATGGATGTAACACACACACACAAAAAAAACTTTTTATATTCATTTTCAATAGTAACAAGAAGAAGAAGAAGAAGAATATTCTCTCTGTGTGTGTGTGTGTGGTTTAAATATAATCATATCATTTTTGGAGTGTTTTTTTGCCTGAATATAAAGATATACTCAATATAATCATGATGAACACTCGATTCCCTTTTTTTATGATTCTGGATATTATATCCTCATATTGACTGTCGGTCGAACAAACGAACGACCAATTCATTGTATCATGAAATCCATTGGCAATGATGATGATGATTGTCATCATTCAGAATTGAAAAAAAACGAAATAATAACAACGAACGATTATTATTGTCATTTGAGATTATATATAGATAGATAAATAGATTTTTCTTTTTCAAACTTTTATTTCAAAGAAATATCATCATCATCAACGTCATCGATAGTTTTCAACAACAACAACAACAACAACAATCTAATCAGATTAGTTTCGGATCTCTGTGTCGGTTTTTCATTTTCAATCATCATCATCATAATTATTTTTATATACGAAAATAATGAAGAATGATACTAACGATATAATAATGTACTTGATTCTCAAGTACTTGTACATCATCATCATTATTATTATGATTATTATTATTAATTTTTTTTCTTTTTTTTGAATCATTCTTTTCGTGGTTAAATATCGTTGATGATAATAATCATCATCAATAGAATTGATTGATCAATCATTTTAAATCCAGTTATTTTGTTTTGTTTTGTTTTAAATTTCATTATGAAAACGAACCAAAAAAATTCAACCTATTCATCATTTTATCAACGTAAACTAGCAAAAAGAAGTTCTTTATTTAGCTCTGATGAAATAGAGAGAGAGATTCATTGACAGAAATCGATTGATTTGACAATGTAGAACCGACTTGCCAAAGAATTACTGTGAATGAATTGAGAATTGAATCAATAGGATTTATAAAATGTCCATACAGAAACATTATTTTAATCCACTGTGTAGATGAAAACATAGAAACAAATACAAACACACACATGGGACATAATAATTGTAATGTTATGTCACACACACTGACTGACTGACTGACTGAATCGTTCGGTAGAATTAAAATCTTAATACTTGAAACAACAACAATAACATAATATTCTTCTATCTTATTTACAAAAATAATTTCAAACTATGAAATTAAAAGGGAGATTTTTTTCCTGTTTGATTGGTGGAACACAATAAACATAAGGGAAGAGAATTTTCATATATTTTTTTTTACTTAGTCCAATATCAATGTTGAGTAATAATATAAATGTCATAGTCAGGCAACAGGGAAAATGATATAATCGCTTTCAATTCACTCATCTTCTCATCATTGTCATTACACAGTACAACATTTTTTGGAAACGCTATTCACAATTGGATTAGTCTTTGTATTTTCATATACAACGTCAAATGTCGTCGTCGTCGTTTGGTCGGTCTGTTGGCTAATAGATATCATTATTATTATTTTTCATAATCAATACATAGTCTGTGTTTTCGTGTATTTTTTGGATTTTGAAAAGAATTCTTCTTTATCTTTTTTTTTCTCATGTTTTTCAAATACAAAAAAAAAATTCTCCACCTTAAACATGTTCAAATCAAATAACATATAATAATAACAGGCAAACTGAATAAACTGAAGTAAGAGGAAAAAAAATGTTATGAATCGACGATAATGATAATCATTTCGAAACTAACTTTTCTTCTTTATTCGTTTTTTCAGCCACTATCTCTTATCGAGATTTGTAAATGGTCTCAATGGTTTGACTACCGACTGTGAACATGATTGTCAATTTATTGAATGGACATTTATGATGATGATGATGATGATTGTGAAATTGAGATAGAAAATTGAAAAGAAAAGAAAAAATGTTTTCAACAACTATTATATATCCAAATGAAACATTTTATTTTTTTTCCGCATTTTGAATTGCAAATTGACATAAAATTGCTCATGTTATTTTTATTCGCAAAAAACAAAAATTCGGTTCATTGAAATAAAGTGGAATTTCGATTCATAAAATAACCCTTTCTTTCCACCCATTGATCTATTCATTCAGTCATTTTTTCAAGCCAAAGAAAAAAAAATCTATAAAATAGCCATTTTAAAAAAAGGAAATTGAAAAAATTAAATGAAGCTAGTTAAAAGAAAAATGATTATTATTTAGTATAATCAGCCTAAAATTACTTAAAAAAACTTGAAATGAAAATTTGATTAATGCAAACCCTAATCACACACACACTAATGATGATAATTCGTTTTTAAAGAGTTTTTTCCCATTGTGAAATAAATAGATCCATAATTCATCCATTCTGATTCAAAGTTGTTGTTGCTGTTATTGTTGTTCCAAATTTACAAAATACAAAAGTTGACATTTTCACATTGTTACATATGGTTTTTTTCAACTGTGTTTCATATATTTATTCTGAAAAGCGAAAAGAAATTCCCGACTCATTTTTTTCGGCAGAAATGAAAACTGATTTGAATAAGAATGTAAATGGGAGAAAGGGAGAATTGAATGAATAGAAAAAAAACATGACCACAATGTACAACGATTGATCATGAACATGATCGTCGTTGATGATGATAATAATAAAAGAAATTCAATGTGAATTAAACACATCGAATGAATCAATAATAAAATATATGTGACAGCCGAGCAACAATATAAAAAAAACGATACATTTCAATTCATTTTGTAAAATGAATAGTGTCTCACATACAGAGAAAAGAAAAAAAAAGTCAAATATCAATTGTTATTCATATATTGATGAATGTTGATGAATCCATTAACAAGATTTTTGAAAAACATTATTGTTAAAAATAACAAGGTCGACGACAAGTTTTTTTCCCTTCGGTCAAACGCTGTTGTTGTTTTTTTTCTAGTTCGTTTTTTTTTACAAATGGCTTCTGGTTGTTGTTGTAACAGGCGGCTATTTGAACAATTTGATTTACAAAGAATAGAAATACATCGGTAAAAATGATCATCAATGATGGTAATAATAATGATGATGGAAATAAACGGTCACACTTATTTTTCATTCATTTGTGTGAATATACGGTACAAATGAATGGGCAAAAACAACAATCACACCGTTATACCTAAATGAAAGAAAGAGAGTTTCGGTGTTAAAATAATCAATAGGGATATTTTTATGCTTAAATGACATTCTAGCAAAAAATTAAACAAAATATCAAATCGAATTCAATGTATTATTATAATTAAGTTGTGAATCACAAAATCTCGACGATCAATCTTGTAGATTTCAATCAATCGCTATTACATCAATATAAAAACAACAACAAAATGTTTAGCAAGTTTTCAATGACAAAAAAAAATTTAAATTTTTTCCAATAAAAATTTGCATAACAAATGATACAAGTCAGAAGAAAAACAGGAACAAAAATCAGAACAAAAAAAAACTTCTTTTATTTATGATAATATAACATCAATGATATATATCTGCAAATGCAATTTAACGGTTTTCTTTCTCTCTCGTTCATGATTTTTGTCGCCAACGAATAGAAAAAAGCAATAAATTTGATTATTCAATCAAATTGAATTTTCAGATACCAGAAAATTTTCAGATTTTCAGATTGCAAGTTACAATTTGAAATGATGAAAATGAGAATAATTTAAAATTCATCTAATTAGCTCAAGTGCATGAATGAATGAAACAAACTAACTTGTTTTGGTTCAAATTTTATCCATTCATTCATTCATTCATCCAAGAAAATTATCGATCTAACCAACAAAGAAGCACGCAACCACCAAAAATGTCATGCAAGATACAAAAAAAAAAATTATTCATATCATCAATGTTGATGATAAATACTTGAATTGTTTTCAAAATTTAATTTAATCAAAAAAATTTGTTTTATTGAATTAAATTTTAACAGTAAAATCAACGAATGGAAAATAAAATCTAAACCGCAAATAAACTGGACAAGTTTAGACAATATTCAAAATTAAAAAAATTTGTTTGATGATTCAATTTTTTTTCAACCAACTGCAACAACAATTGAATTAAATGTGATCTAATTTTCGGATCATATTCACACACAGAGGGAGAGAGAGAAATGAAATTTTGTTCAATTTTGCAATAGAATTCAATGCAGTCGTTTGGTTTCAATTTCATTTTGACAATTGTGTGGCCTGAAGAGAATTTGGGCATATAATCTTTTTATTCTCTTGTCGTTTTTTTTCTTGGATGTCCATAAACATTGAAACATTTGTAATTATTTTCCCTCTGTCTGACACAGTGAAAGAGAGAATTAGATATTATTATTGTCATCTGGTTCGATTCTCAGAAAAATTGAGTTTTTTTTTCTTTTGATGACAATTGACAATCAAATAGAATTGATTGGATGATGATGATGATGATTAAATAGTTATTGTAGTGTAAAATTAATTGGCAAATGAACAACAACAAATATAAGAATTTAACCAAGAATAATATCTTTGTGTGTTGTGGTTAATCAAATTGACAACGGAACAAAAAGTTTCAAATTTCTTTTTATTTAACCCGATTTTTCTAAAAATTTGTTTTCTTCTTTTTTCTCACAATGATTCTACATCATCATAGGTCTCTTCAATCAATCGTGTATTACGTAATTTGGCTGCCCAAAAAGAACAAAACAATCATCATCATCATCATACACATCATCATCATTCTACACATCATCATCCACATGCACAAACAGCCGATGTTGTTTATGATAAATTACGTATTTTGAATGGACAAAATTGGCCAAGACCATCACCATGGTATCCGGGTAGTACTACATTTGGTAGTATTACATCAGCACATTGTATGCCATCAGTACCAACACCGGCTGCTGTAACCAATAATAATAATAATAATAATAATAACAGTAATATTAATAATAATATAACTAATACTAATACCAATACAACATCATCGGCCGCATCAATTGAAAATGGAAATTCTGTAAAAAAAGGTATGTAATACATTCATACGATTTCGGTTTTTTGTTTGTTTGTAATGATCCTGTGAATAAATCATATCAACAACATCGCATACACACACTGAATGAGAAAAAAAAAACTAAAGAATCACATTTTTTTGGTGAAAAAATAAACTTTCTAAGCAAGAAAGAAACGATTTAATATCGACAAAAAAAAAAGAAAATGTTATAATCACATTGAGTGCGATATGATTGATTTTGAGCTTAGTAGTTTTTTTTTTGATTTTGAAATGAGAAAAAAAAGATAGCGGATGGACCGAGAAACCGAATAATAATAAACTTTTCAAAAGATTAGATCATCAATGATGAAAAGAAAAAGAATGTATTATCGTTCGTCGTCGTGTGTGTGCAATGTGCATCAATTCCCTAATGATGAGATTTTTTTAATATTATGGCTACACATATATCTGGCCAATAGAATAAAGAATTAAACTTATGATTTGTGTGAAAATTTTTTCATGGTGATGAGTGTGCTCGTCAATGTTTGTGTTTTTTGTTTGTTTGTAAATGTTGTATGTGATGAAAATTTTTAAAAAAATAGCCAACATGATGATGAAGGAGAAAAAAAGGAGAAAAATGTTGCGGCATTGCCTTCGTATACATAAATATTATCAGTGAAAACAAGGAAAATATTATTGAAAGAATTCACAATCACCATCAACAACAACAACAACANAACATCATCGGCCGCATCAATTGAAAATGGAAATTCTGTAAAAAAAGGTATGTAATACATTCATACGTTTTTTGTTTGTTTGTAATGATCCTGTGAATAAATCATATCGCAAACACACACTGAATGGAAAAAAACTAAAGAATCATATTTTTTTTTTTTGGGGAAAAAAAAACTTTCTAAGCAAGAAACGATTTAATATCGACAAAAAATGAAAATGTTATAATCACATTGAGTATGTTGTTTGTGATATGATTGATTTTGAGCTTAGTAGTTATTTTTTTTTTTGGATTTTGAAATGAGAAAACGAAAAAAAAGATAGCGAATGGACCGAGAAACCAAATAATAATAAACTTTTCATAAAAGATTAGATCATCAATGATGATGATGATGAAAAAAAGTAACCGTATTATCGTTAAACCGTCGTCGTCGTCGTGTGTGCAATGTGCATCAATTCCCTAATGATGAGATTTTTTTATATAATGGCTACATATATCTTGCCAATAGAATAAAGAATTAAACTTATGATTTGTGTGAAAATTTTTTTTATGGTGATGAGTGTGTTCGTCAATGTTTGTGTTTTTTTTTTGTTTGTAAATGTTGTATGTGATGAAAATTTTTAAAAAAAATATCCAACATGATGATGAAGGAGAAAAAAAGGAGAAAAATGTTGCGGCATTGCCTTCGTATACATAAATATTATCAGTGAAAACAAGGAAAATATTATTGAAAGAATTCACAATCACCATCAACAACAACAACAACAACAGCCATAGATTTCCAAGTCATTAATTAATTTATGGATAAAAAAAACTTGGATCATTCTCTTTTTTCTCTGGTTTTACGATTGCTATCCATAATGGTCAACAATGAAAACCAAAGACCAAAGAAACGATCCCAAAAATAATAAAATAGCATCGTAGAATAGACAATGATGATGATGATGGGTTCGATTGACAAATGGCTTGTTGGTTGGTTGGTTTGTCGTTGTTTGTGCTCATTAAATATCAGATATTCGTGTGTGTGTGTGTTATATATGGTTTTTTTGAAGAATGAAAGAATCTTCTTCGCTTCTTATCAGGTATCTTCTGCATCACTGGCTTTTTGTTTGTCGTTTGTTGTTGTTTTTTGTTATAGTCAACGTTAGCTATGGTCATCATTAATGTCGTTAAGCATTGTTATTATTACCATCATCATCATCATCATCATTGAAGCTTTTTTCTGAAAAAAAAACATTAGCTTTCTTTTCAATACAACTTTGATGTGAAAACATTTTATAGTTGAAAAAAAATTTGCCCCTCTTTTTCTCCCAAAATCATGCGACATTTGACCATTGAAAATCCATTTTTTTCTCTCGTTGTTGTTGTTGTTGCTGTTTATCTTTGTTTTTTCACAATCCATTTTTCTCATTACACAATTCACCATAATGACTGTTTTCGTTATTCGAATTCATGAGGAATACAGAATATTTTATGCTTTTGATTTTGGATGAAAACAAAATTAATGTTCGACAATTCTTTGGAAATAATAGGAAATCGTGTTTGTTTGTGAAATTAATCGGAGATTAAAATTTTTTTTTTCTTCAAAATAATTAAATTAATCATGTTTGGCCATGACAATCATCATATCATAGAATAACAATTGTCATATTGAATGGATAATCTTTTCATTTTTTTTGTTTGTTTGTTTCTCTCAGCATTATCCGATATCAAAAGATTTCCAAAACAATGGTTTATTTTTTTTTATTTTTTAATATTTTGTTGTTATTGTTGTTGTTGCAGATGTTGATTCTAGTACTGAAGATTCATCACAACATGATGGTTCGGATGTTGATTCAGCTGCACGTTTACGTTTAAAACGAAAATTACAACGAAATCGTACATCATTTACGCCCGAACAAATTGAATCACTTGAAAAAGGTATGATGATAATAACAACAACCATAAAATTGGATTTAAAATTTATTTTTTTTTTATTCATTCATTCAATGTTTTTGACAGAATTTGAACGTACACATTATCCGGATGTATTTGCTCGTGAACGACTAGCAGCAAAAATTGAATTGCCCGAAGCTAGAATACAGGTAAGCATTTTGTTTTTCCTAGCATTTACACTTGAACACAAAAAAAAATCTACTACTCACAACATGAATATTCATACACATGAATAAACAAATCTAGTTAGCATAAATCATATAGAATTTTCCTGACAAAATGACAAAGTGGACCATGATTCTGTAGTTGACAAAAAAAACTGAAATTTATTTTTAGTATTTTGATGGGCGATGAGAATCTTGCTATAAATTCCATTTAGTCTTTCGCTTATCATAAAAAGTATTTCAATTGAATTTCCCGCCTCCATGCCCAATAGCAATAATTTATTTTAACCAAAATACAGTTTGAAATGTGAAAATATTCTGTGATGAAAAGATAAACTTTATAGCTTTAGGTAAACATTTAGGTATTCATAATTAATCAGTAGTTTGATTTGTAATCACTATAGTGATTAATGATCATCATGTAGAATCCTAGTTGAAATAGTATTAGATTGTAGTATAAATGTCCATCCATAAATCCAATCCATTATGATGTACCATTGTGTGTTGACTGTAATGCTTATAGGAGTATGATATCGTACAGGTATGGTTCAGTAATCGACGGGCCAAATGGAGGCGGGAAGAAAAACTACGTAATAATCGTCATACACGATCATCATCATCAACATCATCAACAACAAATAACAACAACAATAATAATAATAATAATAACAACAACATTGATATGACATCGACAACAACAACAACAACAAACATTTCGCAAAGTGCCCAACAGATAACAACCGTTGCAACAACAGCGGCAGCATCAGCACAACATTCACAGCATTCGATACAATCATTACAATCATCCGGTCTTCAACAAAATCAACAACCACAACATGGACCACCACCACCAATATCGGTACCATCAATAACAACGCCTACACATCATTCTCATAATCATAATTCACAATCTGGAATGACATCACCGGATAGTATTATTCATAATAGTTTGACCGAATTGAATAATTCCCATGCAAATGGTGGAACAAACGCTACAACACCTTCACCGGCTCATGCAGCAACGGCTGCTGCTGCTGCTGCGGCCGCTGCAGCTGCTGCAAATGCTGCCGCTGTTGTCGCATCAAGTCAAACATCGCGAATACCAATCAGTTCTAGTTTTGCTAATCATTCACTTTATCCGACCATACCACAGCCAATGCCATCGATGACCGATACATATGGGTAAGTGTTGTATGGATTTTTCTTTAAATAAAAAAAAATTACAAATTTTGAATGAATCGATATAATTTTGTAAATTCAGATCGATGGGAATGTCATCATATTCAATGTCGAATAATATGGCCAATGCAAATCAATGTTTACAACAGCAAGCAGCCGCCTATTCATTTATGCATCATCCATCAACACATAGTAGTCATAGCGCCCGAAATCCATATGATACAATCGGTTTAAGCTATTCAAGACATTCTGGATGTCCATCAGCTGCTGCAGCACAAATGCATGCAATGCAATCAGTAAATGGTCAATTTAATCATGTAAACAATTCAACAGCCGGAGGATCGACAGGTAAGCTTCATAGTCATCATAGGACACCATCATCATTGGAGCTTAGTCATCATGCCAATCTCAACTCGTATTTTCATCCGAACAGGATTGATATCACCGGGAGTTTCTGTACCAGTCCAAGTGCCTGGACAGATTATAAATGATGATTTATCAAATGCTATGAATTCTGTTGTTTCAGCTAATAATAATTATTGGTCTCATTGCATTTAAATAATTAACACACCAAACAAACAAAAAATAATCAACAAATTTTTATGAAAGCAATCATTCTCACACCCAAAAAATTGGGAATTTTTTCATTTCAAACATTCATAAACATACACACACACACAATGAATCGACCTTAGTAAACAAAATCAATAATTTTTTCTAAAAATTGATAACGAACCTAAATTTTGTAATGTGGATATTCAAATATTTTTTTTTGTTTTGAAAAAAAAATTAACAATCGAAACATTTACATTACAATAACACAATCACAATCAATTGATCCATAAACAAAATACAATATTTTCATCTGTAAAATTCATTCACTGTATTTTTTAATTTCGTTCAACATTTCGATATTATTCTTTTTATTTCATTGAATTTTTTTTTTCTTCCTTTCTTTCCGGACATCTCTCTTTTTTCTTTTATTATTCCAAAAATTCCAACGTAGTTGTTATTCTATCATCATTGTTTGTATGTAACCTAAAAAATAAAAATAAAAATGAATAAATTATTATCATTTTTAAATGAAATTTTTTTTAAATTCAAATTTTCAACTGCTACACCCATTGCATTATACGATTTGCATTATACGCCCAATGCTAAATAGGATAAACAAACAAACAAACGAAAAAACCAATTGAATAGATTGATTGATTGATGAATGGATTGAATCACATTTGGATCGATTCATTCGAAAATTTATTGATTTCCATTAAAAACAACATTGACATATATAAATCATGACTTTTTATATGCACATTCAATGAATTAAAAGAAAAAAAATCATTATAATAAATTTTCGGCTAGTTATTTGAATGAAAAAAAACAACATCTTTTTTACGACATTCATAATAGCCATCATCAACATAAAAATAATGATAATAACTGAAGATCAAACGCACAACTAACACACACATATGTATAATGTTTTTAAATGGTAATTTTAACGAATAATTTACTATATCGATTTATTTTTCCTTCATTTCATTTCCTATTTCAAAAACAAGGGTAATAATCAAATTAAGAAAATTTGTTGTAATCCAATCTGGTTTTGGTTTGTTTCGGTGGTGGTGGCCAATTCATCCAATTTTCTTTCATTAACAACAACTACAAGCAATAATGATTATTTTTTTCGGGTAAAGATGATTATTATTATTATTGTTGTTTTCATCCACCATCACATCACTATAGTGTATGTTTCTGATTTAGAATAATTTATTAACAACAACAAAAACTATAAATTGGCCAATGATTCTTGTTCTTTAATTCTTTTTTTCTCATTCTCTCCGATTCTGGTATAATGATGGCCCACACACATGCTACCGAATGACTATTACTGGGCTGACTGGTACACTAAAATCTGAATTTGGTCGTTTCGTTTGGACTCAAAAATCTTTGTGTATGGATTATATTCATTGGTCGCGCATATGTTGTCAACTAAGGTCGTCAATTCATTTTTTTTGTTTGTTGGCGTTTTCATGTCATTCATTTGGTATGTTCCTGATGCCATTTACACACATACACCGACCGATAAAATTTTTATGTCATTTTCAATGTGAAGGGGAGATCAAACGATATTTACCCGTATGCTGTTTGTATATACCACACACATGTGTCACTTGTCATCAATGATTTTTTCTCTAAAATGTTTGATAATAAATGCCTCAATCATTTTTTTTTGTTGTTGGAACAGTTGTTGTTTAACAAAACATTGAACAAATTGGCCCCCATTGAAAAAAATCCTTAATCATCATCATCATCAACATTATTCATCCATTATCAGTTGATCAACAACAACAACAATGAGGAAAAAAACAAAACAAAACCAAAACTCGTTCCAAAAAACTAGACACTGACATTGACAGGCTGATGGTTCACATTGTGATAATGAACAGAAAGAAAGAATTCTAATCTTTATATTCACATCGAAAAAAAAAACATTATTATTTTCTGTTAAATGTCATATGAACGAAATTTTTCTCGATAATTCACATTCAAATTTTGTCGATTCTTGGAACAAAACATCAATAGATTATCAGCTCGAAACAAATGTTGAATTTTGCTTCTGTCTATAAGGAATAATTATAATTTTTATATATACATAATTCCATAGATCATAGATTATATTCTTGAATATCTTAATCAATGGAATTTTTTTTCCATTAATAATGATGATCCTAGAATAAAAGTGGAGAAGAGAAAAAAAAATCCAATTCCAATGACCAATGAATTTGATTTGATTCAAGTCAAAGATAGTTGCTTTTTCGGTTAGAATTGTCAAAATAAGTTTTTTTCCTAGGCTTTTTTTTTTGTTGTTGTTCAAACCCATCAAGTTATATATGTCGAAATTCTAATTCCATTTTCGGTTATTCATTGCCTGATTCCAAAATACTTGTTTCAATCATCAGCATCATCATCATCATTTTCAATTCGATTCTGTGAACAACACTCGACAAATAGTATGGTATAGAGTTTTCTCATTTCTTTTTGTTGTTGTTGTTGTTGTTGATGCTTATTCCATGACTATCACCAAAAAAAAAGAAAAGAAAGATCTTGTCTTCAAGCTCAATTTTTATTTATACAATACAGTACAGTGCAATGTGTGTGTGTGTGTCTGTCTGTATAATTTTAATTTCCAAATTTTACGTTTGGCCGGACAGCATAATTGCAAAAATGCCGATGAGAAAAGAAAGAAATGAAAGAAACAACATAAAAGCAATTTTCTTCAAGCAAAATTCTGAATTCTTATTACTTTTGACGTGTATTTTATTTTCATTTTGATTCTATTTTCGATCAAATATAAATATTTTTTTTATTATTATTTTGATTAGATTTGGCCACTAGATGTACCATTTTCTGTTGCTACTGCTATCATCGAATCTGATCAAATTCATTTTGATGTATCAATTTTTCTTCTCATTTATCATTATCGAATTGAAAAAAAGAAGTAAATGTAGCAACCATAACTATTATATTATTTGGCTGAAAACCTCAAAATGAAGAAAAAAAACCAAGGCAATCTCTCCTGAGTATTCCATAAAAAAAATAAACTTTATTAACTAACCATTCAAAACTTTTGTTGTCGTTGTTTTTGTAATATAAAATCCAAACATCAACTGACCTATATTGAGAAAAAAAATCAATGGTTCATCAAACACAGACTAATAATAATAATCTTTTGGCACGAGACTTTAATCATAAGATTCATTTTTTTTTTTTTTGACAATTTCATTCATTCATCCAGATAATATTTATGAAAACAAACAAACAGAAAGGAAAAAAAACTTAATTACATCAATGATGTTGTTGTTGTTTTTTTTGGATCAACACGTAATGAATAAGCATGAATGTCAATGATTTTTCTTGCTTTGCTTTGACATTTTATTTTCATGGTTCAAAACAACCAACCAACCAAACATTAACCAAGTGAGATAGATAGATAGACAATGAATCCAATCATTTGTAAATTGGAATGAAAAAAATAAATAAATAAATAAAAGAAACTATGGACCGTTATAAATAAATCTATCTTCTCTCTATGTGTGTTTGTGTGTGCATATGGACCATTAGGGCGAATGATTAACAAACATAAACATATATAAACAGATTGATTCGATGATCCCTATCGATCGATAATTCTCGGATGAATAACATAAAATGAATCCATCCATCCATCCATCCATTCATCCATCCATCTATCGAATCGTTTTTATTTTGTCAAACGATTTAGTCAAGTTTTTTTTTTGTTTGTTTGTTACTTCTCTAGATTTTGGTTTCCTTAAACAGTAACAACAACGATGACGAATAAGTAACAGCATTTTTTTTTTGGCCATGGTCTTCTATACACACAAGTCATTATGACATTTCCTACATATTCACAATTCAATGATAAACAACAACAGAAAAAAAAGCTATCAGAGTTTTTTTTAAAAAAAATTGTGAAGAAAAAAAACTGTATCCAAAAGTGATTCATAAAGAGAAGAGTATTGAAAAAAAACGATGATGCCAAAAAAAGAATCAAACGAAGCAAATGCACACACACATATACATGCATATCACTTTGTTGTTTTTTTTGGCTGTCACTTTTTTTTGTTGGATAAAATGGTAAAAAGACGTTTCTGAAACAAAACAACAACAACAACAACATACACCATACACTCAGTCATTCAACCAAGCTTGAAACACAAATCCATCCATCCATCCAAGCAATCAACCGACCAACTAAAGCGACCAACCAGCCATCCAGCCAAACAATCAACCAACCAAGCATCAATCCAATCCTATGTAATATAATATTTAAGGGAAATACAGCGACAGCGGTCACACATTTTTTTTTTGTTTCTTATGCGTTTACGCGCCTATATATATTATCAAATGAAAAAAAGAAAGAAGAAAAACATTAAAACTAAGCTAGCCAGCTGTTTGTTTGTTTCTGATTTAGAATCTGAAAACAAAATTGAGCTAAGATTAAAAGCAAAGACAAACTATAGGGCTTTTTAAAGGCATTTCTATCGATAAAAAATAATACTATTTGACTATGCTGCCTAATGGTCTGGTATTTTCTTTTTCTTTTTTGAAATGTATAAAATGTTTGAAAGAATCTAAGAATATCATCAATTTTTTCCCCATCATCATCCTCTCAAACATCCAAAAGTCAAATCTGCTTCTCGTTTTTTTGTTTTGTTTTGTTTCGTATTTATTGATCTGGATAGCCATTGAATGAAACACAGAATCCAAGTTGAAATTCCCCATATCTGATGTTTTTTAATAGTGTTCCAGCAAAAAAAGCTCTTATATATTTTTTTACGCTTTTAAACCTGAATTCACTCGATTTAATCTAGCCAATTTTTTCTTTAGTAAAAACAACAACAACAGTCAATGGACAAAATGAATAAAAAGTGTCGAATCTGACACCCATTTGTTTGTAACATTTTTGGAAAACAGAGTAGAAAAAAAAATCAATCGATCTAGCTGATAACATTATGATTTTTGTCTTTCTATTCGATTATCCATT